GTGCTATTTAGGACATCTGCCATTCTATGAGTCTGCTGAGTATCTCACTTCCCATGTTGGATCACTCTCCCCTTTATTTACTCCATCGGTTAGCGTTAGCAGGTACTAGACTTGTCTATGTGTTCCCTTTGACTCCCAGTCCCTTCACCATGACCAACTGTGAACTGAAACTGATCACCTGGAACAGTGAGATGGCATTGGTACATGCCACCTCGATGGGATTGAATTGGAATCCCCTGGTATGCTTCCAACTCCACCACTTGGGGCAAGTCAGCCTGAGCATGTCCCAAATTATACATCTCTTCCCTCTCCCATTCCCACCACCATGTTCAACAGGGATCACATTTCAGTTAATTTTCAACACTTAAGAATAACTGTGCATCAATTACAGATCTAAACCAGTCATATTAAGTAGAACAGATAAAAAAAACTACTAAGAGGGATAATGTATTAAGTTGTTCATTAACAGTCAGGGCTATGCTGATCAAGCCACCATTTCCCATAGTGTCCACCTCACTCCAACAGGTTTCCCTCTTGGTGTTCAGTCAGTCGTCACCGATCAGGGAGAACATATGGTATTTGTCCCTTTGGGACTGGCTTATTTCACTCAGCATGATGTGTTCCAGATTCCTCCATTTTGTTGCAAATGACTGGATTTCGTTGTTTCTTACTGCGGTATAGTATTCTAAAGAGTACATATCCCATAATTTCTTTATCCAGTAACTGCTAGTTCACTCCCCAGTTGGCCGCATCAGCCGGAGCTGCGCCGATCTGAATCCAGGGGCCAGGAGCTTCCTCCAGGTCTTCCCATAGGGGTTCAGGGGCCCAAGGACATGGACTATCTTCTACTGCTTTCCCAGGGCATAATAGAAAGCTGTATCGGAAGTGGAGCAGCCGGGACTCGAACCAGCGCCCATATGGGATCCCAGCACTGCAGACAGCAGCTTTTCTTGCTACGCCATGGCACCGGCCTAATCCATGAACTTTTTGAAGTACCCTACTTTGCTTATTAGTCTTTCTGGGCTGGCCGGGCCTACGCATTTGGGACCCTACCTTGAGTTAGCTCCTGAGTATAAACTCAGTTCCTGTTCACAGTGCCTTCTATTACTTAGAAAATTCTGTCTCTGGAGCTATTTATTAGGAGCAGGGGTCAAAGGCCAGATTATATCACAGTTAACTTCTTCTATTTTGCTTCTTTAGTAAGATTTTTGTTGTTAGGAGCACAAATGATTGCTCACATGGAGGGTTATATTTACAAAGTGAAGGGGATAGTAAGCAGTAACGGGATAGGGACTTTGGCCGTACTACTGGGAGATAAGAACTAGGATGCCACTGGAAAATGCAGGCATCTGGCGGAAAGAACGCTTTTTGTGGCTGTGTGTGCTGTGCTTTCCTGTTCTGTCCTCACGTTGTCCCCAATTGCCTTGCTCTCTCCTCTGGCTTTCTTCACCCTAGAGCTTTGCTGCTTTATTGCGATTTCTGTTTCCTCATGAATCCTTAGAGCTCCAGTTCTGGCTCCTACCTGGTTATGCCTATTTGCAACTTGAGCTCTTGGTAATGGTTGGCCTGTCCGCATGACTGGCTGTTTCCTCGGCTGGGTGGTTGGGGTTTGAGAGCAGTAGTCTTGGCGCCCAGGAAAGTGAAGTTTCCCTTTGAAGTAAGTGGAGCACAGTCTTAGTTATAGTGGAAAGCACTTCTAAAACATGAAAATGTTTCTCTTTAGGGAATATTGAAAATCTTGAGGATATTAAGCATATCAGTGATTTTCCTAATACCAAAAGAATGTGACATATAATTTGAGTTTGGTGTATTTAGATAAATGTTTGGCTCTGGATTTATTTTTCTAAAACAGAATTCTGAACTAAGACCAAATCAGTATATTTGCTGAGTAGTTTGTCTTTTTCATGAGTCTGACATTTTAAGTAAAAAAATGTTTTCTGCTTTTCTTTGTCCCAAATGGGTAATCATGTGTTCCATGTTAATGACCTCATCCTTTTGCTCACTGGTTTGTAAATGCAACTTTGTCTTTCTGTCTTCAGATACAGAAGCCATCAAATAAAATTGATAAATGTAGCTCCATAGAAAATATTCTTGAAGTAATTTAAAATATTTTTGAAAAATATGTGTGAAAAGGCACTTTTAAATTGAGTCAAAAGAAAAATGAGAAACTGGGGGAAATATTTGGAACACATACTACCAAGTGTTTAATCTCCATTAGTATATAAAAACGCTTCTTAAAAATAGTGAAAAATTGAATTACTCTTGTCAAAAGTGAGTAGTGGTTATGAACACAGAGTTCACAGAAGAAGACACTTAAAACCTGGGAAAGAATGCTCAAGGACATTTATAAGAGAAACACAAAATAAAACTATAGAATGTTAATAAAAGCGTACTCCAAAAAAATGTATGGAACCTGAAGTGAAAAGATAAGTTTATTTTCGTGCAAAAATTTTGAAATCGTTTCCAAAAAGTTCATGAAAAATGTATAGTATGAAAAAAACTGATTGTACTGCAATAAACTTTAAATTCTGTTTTCTGCTAACTTTTTGAAATACCCTAGTACTTTTGAAGGGCATTATGGAGATATTGAGATATTTATTAAAAAAAAATTGCCTTTATTCTTTGGTCCAGACCCTGCATACCACCAAACGGGAAGCAAGTTGTGTATTTAACATGGCAGAGTGTTTTACAATAGCTAAAGATTGGAAATAACCTAGGAGCCTATCAACAAAACTGGACAAACAGATGTATTCTCGTCTAGGATATTGTAAAAGTGAATAAGCAAGTAGTTTCTGCAGGGATAACGCATTTCAAGGGTATATTATGTAAACAAAGTAAGATGTATAAAAGGTAATGTATAAAATTAATGTTTCCTTTTGTGAAAGAAAATGTGCAAAATATATGTGTTTGTTTATGTTTAAGAAAAAATTAACACTGAGATATCAAAGTGGTTACTTGTGAGTGCTGGGAGAATAGGGCACTGTATCCAGGGTGAGAGAAAAAAATGTTCTTTATGTAATTGTTTTTGGTAGCAGGTGTGATAAGTTCTGAAGGTTCAGGTGACGTGTTTTTTCTTTTTTCTCTGGTAAGATATATATGTGTGTGTGTGTGTATATATATATATACACATATAAAATTTGCCACTTTAATTACTTATAAGTGTACTTATAATTCAGTGGCATTTCTATGTATTGTTGATTTCAACTTTTGAAATTGTTGTTGTAATTTATATACTGGCATGTGTTTCTGAAGTGTATTGTGTTCATTGATTTGTCGATTCTTTTATCACACTGACTTTATTGTTGCCTTAAACTGTTTTAATATGAGATTTTTTAAAAAGCTAACTCCTAATAACTATTTTCACTAATGTATTTCTGTTTTCTGCAGTTAGCTTTATTATTAACTGTGTAAAACAAATGCTTGTTTTGTCATGGGTATGGGTCATATAATTAGTCATACAATAGTGTACATTCTTTTGTCTTTGAATCATATCATGGAAGCCTGGAGTAATTTCCAGAATATTTTCAGTTTCCAGGAATCTAAAATTATGACTTACTAATCTGTCTGACTCAAGTTCTACTTGGGGCTTCCTTTGACCTACAGTGGTAACTCTGAGAGACGAAATACAACTATCCCAAGGTGTCTGTGTATCTTATGGTAGTTTTAGTGACGGATCTGCAGTTGGTAATTGATAATTTTGGATCCTTTATTTTTCATGTGAAGAGACCACATGATATCTCTGTCATTATTTGCGATCAAACAACTAGCATATTGTATAAACATTGTATGCTGTGTTTGAAATTTCATTGTTGTCATGTAGGATATAGACATCCCCTCTTTCCGTAGATTGTATGAATTTCTTAAAACCAGTGAGCTTCTGCTGTATTCTTGGAACTTTTGCAGAGATCCTGTAAGCATTAACACTTAGTGACTAGGTTAGGTTGGAATAATTTAAGGCTGTCTCCCATCTTGCCGTCAGCCTGGTAGTGATTTGGTTTCTGCTGCTGATATGTAAGTACCAAAAGACAAAAGTATGTGTCCCTGCTTACAAAGGATGTTTCTCCTCTTAGAATGTTATGACTCCAACTCTTACAACTGTGCCTGATGCATGGTGGGTGCCCTAAAAATGTTGAATAAACATTAATGGTGGATCTCTTGTCATGCATGTAAAACTATATGTATCGGTCTCCTAAATTCAAGTAGCATGTTACACATTCATTTATATTTTTACATAACCTATACTTTTATCTTTGGGCACTTGAACTATATATGTATATATGATAAATTTATGTGCAAAGACTATATGCACATTTGAAAATTGGTCTCATTAGATTGCCCTTGAGAATGTTCTGGTTTTACTATCACACACAGGTAAGTATTGTCCAAACTGTTACTGCATGCATTTGGTAAATAATATAAAATTTCACTTATACTTAAGTTGGTCTAGTCAAGAGTCTGCTTTCCACCCCAATTTCCTAGTCCTGAGTCTTTCTTGGAAGGACAATTAATTTCAAGTGTCACTTTACAGAAATACCCTCTTCGTGTGTAAGACAGTAGTCCTGTTATGAAGTCAGTATATTGTGGAAGCAGTAGCTTGATAAAAACTTAAAAATAAGAGATCTAAGAATCCATGTTTGATAGTAATACATAAGCACATAACCTAAATAAAAATCTGGTAAAGGGGCCAGGATTGTGGTGCAGCAGGTTAGGCTACCACCTTTCACAGTGGCATCACATATTGGGGTGATTACTGTAGTTCAGGCGACTCCACTGTGATCTAGCTGCCTGTTAATGTTCCTAGTTGGGCAGCAGAACATGGCTCAAGTGCCCCGGGAACCTGCCATCCTGCCCAGGATGGAATTCCTGGCTTTTGACCTCTGGCTAGTCCAGACCTTGCTATTGTTGTCATTTGGGTAGTGAAGCAGTGGATGGCAGCTTGCTCGCTTGCTCTCTCTCTCTCTCCATTCCCCGCCCCTGTCCCCTCAGGCTTCTCTTCTTCCACCCTACCTTGCTCTGCCTTTCAAATAAATAAATAAACGTGGGAAAAAAAAAGCTTGGCAAAAGGAATCCAGAAACAAATTCATAACTAATAATTTAAAAAGTAAGTGATGTTCATACCAATTATATAAGGATGATTCAATTTTAGGTAATCTGAATATAATTGGCCATTTTAGTAGATCAAAGGCAGAAAATATTACATGAGCAGCTGTATAAATTGAGTTTCCTTTTAGTGCTTTTATGAGTTTTTAAATTATTGATTCATTTGGATCTTTTTTAGAGCCTTTTTTTTTTAAAAAAAGATTTATTCCATCATTTATTTGAAAGGCAGAGCCGAAAGAGATCTTCCATCTGCTTTTTCACAACCCAAATAAATACTTGTCACAGCTGGGGCTGGGCCAAGCAGAAGCCAGGAGGCCAGAATGACATCTGGGTCTTCCTCCCATTGGGTGGCAGGGACTCAACTACTTGGGCCTTCATCTGCTGCTTCTCTGGGCCTTTCTTGGCTTATTAGCAGGAAGCTGGGACATGAATTGAACCAGCGCTCTGATATGGAATGTGAGCTTCCCAAGTGGTGGCTTAACCCACTGAGTCATGCCGGACCCTCCCTGGATCTTATTTTGATAACAGCAACCATATAATGTTCTCACATGTCATTTTAAATGGCTAGTCTGTTGTCTCAATATTATTTATTAAAAATTCATCTTTAGCTAATTTAAAATGATCAAATACTATATTATATTTGGTATCAAGTACTGAATTTATTTGGATCTACTAATGATTTTATAGGCTTGTGTCAGTATGGAATTTTTCCTGGGACAGTATGGAATTTTTTGACTATGTAAATATTATAAATATTTCCTTCTCTGCTGCCTGTCTACATTTAGATTTATATGATGCTGTTCCATATACTTTACAGATTTGGTTCTATTTTAATAATATTTGAGTCAATGAGCATTCATTTGGATGGTTCTTGAGTGTTCTGCTGCAGCAACTTACCCAGGTGTTCGCCATGTTGAATGTTTTCATTCTTACATTCTGTGTAAAGTGTGCATGGGTGCCTGGTTTTTCCCTGGTTTTGATGAGGGTACTTCAAAAAGTTCATCAAAATAGGATCAAAAGGTAAGTTAAATTTAAACTATTTGAGAGGCAGAGAGGAAGAGAAAGCTCCCATCCAGTGGTTCATTCCCGCAAATACCTGCAATGACCAAGACTGAGCTGGGGCTAAAGTTGAGAGCTAAGAAAGCAGTCCAGGTCTCCCATGTGAGTGGCAGGAACACAATTACTTGAGTTGTCACCAACTGCCTTCCAGGGCCTGCATCATCCAGAAGCTGGAGTTGGAAGCCGGAGCTGGAAATTGAATGGAGGTACTGTGATGTGGGATTTGGCTATTGGAACCACTAGGCTAAACACCTAATCCCTAATAGCTTTATTTTGATGCAAAAGATTTTGAAATCCATTTATAGTTTTCTCATAATACAGATCACCATGAACTTTTTGAAGCCCTTTTTTATACATGGATTTGAAGATACTTTTGTACCAAAATAAATTTTATTAATTCCAATTCTATGAATTTTTTGTTATTTTTGATTTCCATTTTTCTAATTAAGAGGTAGAGAAAAAGATCTCCCTTCTGCTGGTTCCTTCCCCTAAATTCCTACAACAGACAATCCAGATCATCCGCATGGGTGACAGGGGCCCAATTATTTGAGTCAACACCTGTTGCTTCGCAGGGTACACATTACCAGGAAGCTGGACTATGGAGTGCAGCTAGGACTCAAAGTTTCAGATATGGATTAACTGCCCAGCCAAATGCCTGCTGGTAAAGTTTTTGAAGTATGCTGGTATTTTTTTTCCAGCCAGATCCTGTGAAGGTTTCACATTTTGTATATACATGCATTTACTTTTGTAAAAAAAAAAAAAAAATTTACATGCTAAAATAAATACATAAGGAGCTTATATTTTAGTTGTATTGCATGTAATAAAGTAACAGTAATGCTGTATCAGAAACAGAATAGTATCTCACAATCTCTTCATTGCATGTCTGTTATCATACTTTGCATGTGTTCCTAGTTGAATCATAAATCAATTTTATGGGATGTGTCATGATTGTCATTCATAGAGTCCTCTGCCTTGCCATGGATTTTTGTGTGGCTTACACAGGACTCTGATACACAAGTCATACAATTTTGTGTTCCTAACAGCATCAGTTTTGGCATTTAATGTGTGACTCTGGGCTATGCATTACAATATTTGGCCCTTGGTTAGAGAAGAAAATTCATGTATGCTGTAATTATGTAACAATTTATTTAGGAGCTCCTTACTAATCAGCCTTCAGTTTTTCTTCACAGATAATGAGTCAGTGAAAAGTTAATCTGTGTTCTGTGTAGATTTCTGTTTAATTTCTACACAATGACATCTGTTGAAAAGTTGAGGAAAATAATGCAGTTTTCACTAACGAGTTTTATAAATTGCCTCTCAAAAAGTATTTTATACTGCAGTGTTCTTATTCCACCATTTTGTAGTGTTGTTTCATGTAGTTTTCTTCAAAATACTTAAGATTTGTAGTGCTTTTACTTACTAGCCTTACATCACAAGACGGGTTTTCCAGAACTTTGCTTGCATATCTCACAAGGATAGCATGAATTTAATATTAGTATAATTTCTAGCATACTGGGCGATCACAGTTTGTGAACCTAATTGTAGGGTAAAATTTGGGGGTAGGGCACCCACGGTGCTTTGTATCTAATAATTTTATAATAAACTTTTGTTTCAGAAAAGTTAGAAAGGTAATACAGTGAGTGTTCATGCCCCAACCCAGTTTCCCCTGTATACGTCACATATTGTCACATTCTTCTGAGCCTTTGGTAACCTCCTTTCTGCTGTCAGCCTCTGTGAATTTGTCTAACCTGGATATTATCATAAAGAATCTGTTTTTTTTTTTCACTTTACATGATGTCTTCAAGGTTCTTCCCTATTTTTATTTTATTGAATGTATATACCACATTTTGTTTATATGCCACATATAGTCATACATACATGCTGATATACATGTGTGTCTCGGGTGATATACTGCAATTTGTGTATCTGGTGTTCATGCATAGTACTGCCCTGGAACATGCATGTAATGCCTTTGTTAATTGCATAATTTTAGTGGCTAATTAACTTGATCATGATAAACTGTATAATAGAGATTTAATACTTTAAAAAAATCCTGAAATTGTGCAGTACTAAGACACAATTTCATTCCACTGAACTATGAAGCGGCCATATCAATATTCAAACAGGCTATTCAGAAGTTAACAAAAATGTTTGCCTATTCTTGGGGGCATTACTTCTTATTCTTTTCCTTCATTATTAAAATTAAACAATCACACCAAGTAAAATACTTTTGTGGTTGAAATTTTTTTTAAAGATTTATTTATTTATTTGAAAGAGTTACACAGAGAGAAGAGAGGCAGAGAGAGAGAGAGAGGTCCTCCATCCAATGGTTCACTCCCTAACTGGCTGCAGTGGCTGGAGCTGGGCCTACCTGAAGCCAGGAACCAGGAGCTTCTTCCGGGTCTCCCACGTGGGTGCAGGGGTCCAAACACTTGGGCCATCTTCCACTGTTATCCCAGGCCATAGCAGAGAGCTGGATCGGAAGTGGAGCAACCAGCACTTGAAATCAGCGTCCCTATGGTATGCTGCACTGCAGGCAGCAGTTTTAGCAACTATGCCACAGCATGCCCCTCCCTCTCTTTTTTCTTTCCTATTTCTTCTATATTCTCTGAGGGTGTTAGGCAGTTTCTTTATGTAAGAAGTTTGAGTCTATATAACTCAGGGTTATAAGGAATTGCTTTATCCCCCAGAATACTGTGTATAAAAATATAAAAGCTGTAGTTAGTCTTCAAAATTTTGAGAAGTAATTTAGTATAAATGATCAAAGTTTGTGCAATCACTTGGATCATTACTATATTTCTGCCTAGTGGGTATATTGGTATTTTCAGGTGTCTCTTAGGTAAATTTTCCTATCTTTAGATGGGAGTGCATAGAAACCTCTCATTTGGACCATGATCATTTCAGAAAATTTCCTTTTTAAACATTAGGATTATTTTTGTAAAACCTGAATGTAAAGATAGTTAACATAGGGAACATTTTTGTGTGCGTATTCCTGACAGTTTCATTTATTTTCAACTGAACTGGTTACAGATCTGATAGGTCGTTTTTAACCTTTTTTTTTTTTTTAAATTAAAAAAATTTTTTTTGACTGGCAGAGTGGACAGTGAGAGAGAGAGAAAGGTCTTACTTTGTTGTTGGTTCACCCTCCAATGGCCGCCGTGGCCTGCACGGTATGACTGGCACACCCCGCTGATCCGAAGGCAGGAGCCAGGTACATCTCCTGGTCTCCCATGGGGTGCGGGGCCAAGCACTTGGGCCATCCTCCACTGTACTCCCGGGCCATAGCAGAGAGCTGGTCTGGAAGAGGGACAACCGGGACTAGAACCCGGTGTGCTGGCGCCGCTAGGTGGAGGATTAGCCTAGTGAGCCGCGGCGCGGGCCTGTCGTTGACCTTTTTACATGTGTTTAGGTAGTCAGGCAATCAGACCCACATTGGAGAAACAGTTCTTGATCTTCCATCCATACATCTCTTGACACTTACTCATTCTATCCTCTGACACACATAAGCCCTTTTCGTTCTTCAGTCCTCCATCCGCTGCTTTCCATTTTCAGCACTGTCCTGGGATGCCCTTTTCATTTCTCTTTCCCTAAATGATTTTAGCAAGGTTATGCTGTGTGTTTAATCTGCTTTTCCAGCACTTTTTTTTTTTTTTTTTTTGACAGGCAGAGTGGACAGTGAGAGAGAGAGAGACAGAAAGAAAGGTCTTCCTTTGCCGTTGGTTCACCCTCCAATGGCCACCGCATGGTGCTGATCTGAAGCCAGGAGCCAGGTGCTTTTCCTGGCCTCCAATGTGGGTGCAGGGCCCAAGCACTTGGGCCATCCTCCACTGCACTCCCGGGCCACATCAGAGAGCTGGCCTGGAAGAGGGGCAACCAGGACAGAATCCGGCGCCCCGACTGGGACTAGAACCCGGTGTGCCAGCACCGCAAGGCGGAGGATTAGCCTAGTGAGCCGTGGTGCCAGTTTCCAGCACGTCTTTATCAAGTACAGGTATATTCTTCATTATTTACCTCTTTTTCTTTTCTTTTTTTTTTAACGATTTATTTATTAGGCAGAGAGAAAGAGAGGAAAGGAGGGAGGGAGAGGTCGGTCTTCTATCCGCTGGTTCACTTCCCAATTGTCTGCAATGGCTGGAGCTGTGCTGATCTGAAGCCAGGAGACAGGAGCTTCTTGGAAGTCTCCCATGTGGATGCAGGTTCCCAAGGACTTGGGCCATTTTCTACTGCTTTCCCAGACCATAGCAGAGAGCTGGATTGGAAGTGGTGCAGCCACGACTTGAACTGGCATCCGTATGGGATGCCAGCATTGCAAGTGCTAGCTTTACCAGCTATGCCACAGCGCTGCCCCCCACCCCCTTTTTAAAAGATTTTATTTATTTTATTTGAGAGTTAGAATTACAGACAGTGACAGGGAGAGACAGAAATGTTTTCCTTCCGTTGGTTCACTCCCCAAATGGCCGTGATGGTCAGAGCTGTACTGATCCCAATCCAGGAGCCAGGGAGCTTCCTCCAGGTCTCTCATGCGGGTGCAGGGTTGTAGGGGCCCAAGTACCTGGGCCATCTTCTGTTTTCCCAGGCTATAGCAGACAGCTGGATTGGAAGAGGATGAACCGGGACTCGAACCAGCATTCATATGGGATGCTGGTACTGCAGGCGGATGATTAACCTACTGCGCCACGGTGCTGGCTGTATGGCCCCTTATTCTTTAATTAAATGTTCTATTCCAGACAGCAGTTGCTTTCCTATAGTATTCTTTTTCAAATAATAGCCTTTTGATAATGATAGTTAAAGTTAACGTAGCATACATTAAATGTTATACACTCGTCTGTGTACGTTAACTCAGTTGTATGCTTAGGAAGTAAATTCTAATTTTTTTTCACATGGGGTAATTGATGTTAGAGCATCAATTATGCTCAGTAACAGTACCCCCAAATATTTATTTGAGAGGCAGAATGACAGGGAGAAACAGAGTGCTTTGATGCCCTGTTTCGCTTCCAAAATCCCACAGTTAATGGTGCTGGGCCAGACTAAAGCCAGGAATCAGGAACTTCATCTGGTTTTCCTCCTACAGGTGTGGTAGGGACTTAAGTACTTGAGCCGTCCTCTGTTGCCTCCTAGGCACATTAGCAGGAAGTAGAGTAGTTTCAACTTAAACTAGGCAGTCTGAAGTGGCATGCCAGGTTGGCAATGCCCCAAGAAGTGGCTTTAACTCTGCACCCCAGTGTCTACTCCAAGTGAAGTTCTTTTCACCATCCAGTGGTGACTGCTTTAGGAAGAACAGCAAAGCAGAAAGTCATAAAAGCTTAAAGCATAGATTTGTCAGGATTAAATGGGATGCCTCCCTGGTAAGACACATCTGGATTTTTTTTGTTTTTTAAAGATTTACTCATTCATTTGAAAGAGTTATAGAGAGAGGCGAGGCAAAGACAGATCTTCCATCTGCTGATTGCCTAAATGGCCACAACGGCCAGAGCTGGGGCTGTCTGAAACCAGGAGGTTCTTCTGGGTCTCCCACGTGGTTGCAGGGGTCCAAGCTCATGGGCCACCCTCTGCTGCTTTCCCAGGAGCATTAGGAGGGAGCTGGATTGGTAGTGTAGCAGCTGGTAGTCCAATGGGCAGCCATATGGGATAGGCGGGAGCCTATCCTGGTAATTTACAATGCCAGCCCTGACATTCCTGGGTTTGAGTGATATTTCCACATTTGAATTTCAAACTTGGCAGGAACAATGTACCAAACAGAAGGCCACTTCCTCCACAGGTTGTTTTTTTTTTTTTTTTTTTTTTTTTCGCAACAGCCAAACCTATATAGTGTTCTAAGTAATTTTTTAAAAAATATTTATTTATTTGAAAGGCAAATGAGAGATAGACAGCTTCCATGTGCTGGTTCATTCCCCAAATGACTGTGACAGCCAGGGCTGGACCAGGCCAAAGCCAGGAGCCTGGAACCCTATCCTGGTCTTAGATGTGGGTGGCAGGAACCCAAGCACCTTGCCCATCATCTGCTGCCTTCCTAGGCACATAAGGGAGCTGGATCTGAAGACAAAGAACCTGAACTCAAACTGGCAATTGGGAGTAGTGGCTTAAGCTCCTGTGTCACAATCTGTCTCCCCACCACTTTCATGGATTCTAATTGATGTATTTATCAATTCTCATGCCTTTTTTTTTTTTTTAATTTGTTTATTTGAAAGACACAGAGAGAGGTCTTTGCAGGGACCCAAGGACTTGGGCCATGTTCTACTGCTTTCCCAGGCCATAGCAAAGAGATCAGAAGTGTAGCCGCTGGGACTTGAACCTGGGCCCATATGGGATGCTGGTACTTCAGGCTGCAGCTTTACCCACTGTGCCATAGCGCCAGACCCGTCATTGCCTTTCACGGGCAGGTTATCAAACCAATAGAAGTTCAGAACTTTACCAAAAATAACTTGTCAGTAAGTTGTAGGATTCCTTTTCAAATCCATGTCTTAGTGTAGGACACTAACCTCTTAATTGCTGCATTTAGATTATATGGTGTTGTCCTCTGACTTGCCTCGATACCTGTGGCTTTTTTGATATTTCTCCTCATGATGTCCTAACAACCTTATCACAAACAAGATTTTTCAACTTGACCACATTCCCTTGAAGAAGCCATTAAATGTGAGACCCGTTCTGCTCCAGACTATTCCATTTGGCTTCCCAAGTAGAGGATTGCCTTTTGATTGTCTACCAAGACCAAGAGGTTACTGGGAGCCAGTCTGCTGTATAGCCTCAAGGGGAATCTTCAGGGGTTGTTTTCGTGGCCTTTGAGGTCTTCATCATCTATTGCAGTTATGTCAGGCGAGGAATCAGTGTAACTTGCTCTCTGCAATATTGCTGCGAAGAGGGGAAGTTTTCTTCATTTATACAGCAGAGTGTATTTTGTTAATACAATGGATTGTGCAGTTATCTGGAGAACTCATCAACAATGTAACTTTCCTGTTCTAAAACCAACATTTTATGTCTATGTTCCTACTTCGTGTTACCAATTCAGAGCTTTGCATGTATTCTTTTCCTTGCAACCTTTAATTATTATGATGTTAATATCATGGGCATTGTGTAGATGAAAGTGAAATAGAATTTTGTCTATCAGAATGCTTTTTCTATTATAGTCTGAAGATTCAGTTGATTGCAGTTTATAATCCAAGTAAATTTTTGATTTGTTTAGGACATAGTTCAAAGAGATGTATGGATAATTTCATTTATTTGAGAGGGAGAGCGAGAGAGGTCTTCATCCATTGGTTTACTTCCCACATGGCCACAGTGGCCAGAGGTGAACCATTTAGCATTAGGCTGTCCCCTGGTAGACAACATGCTGCTGCTTCGGAAGACCTGCTGCATCTGCAGAAAATTCAACCAAGTCTCCAGGGACACTGCAACTGCCATAGATGCTCTGGGTTTTTCAGTATGCCTCCAGAGCCTGAAGGTAAGCGGTGTGTGGTTTGAATGGGGGCATAGAAATCTGTGTTCTGTAGAGCATTTGCTCTCAGCGGATGATTACATAATGAGGGCCCATCAATTGAGTATTAAGACAGAGGGCTGGGGCTGGGTTTGGGGTGGCATTTTGAGGTTTCCCTGGGGTACATTCAAAACTCAGACAAAATGCATGCACACATGTCCCCCTGCCCCAGAATGACCAGAGCAGGGCCGATCGGAAACCAGGTCCCAAAAGCTGCTTCTGGGTCTGCCACGTGGGTGCAGCGGCCCAAACGCTAGGGCCATCCTCTGCTGCTTTTCCAGATGCAGTATCAGGGAGCTGGATCTGAAGTGGAGCACCCCAGGTTTCAACTGCCACCACAGTTGTTGGTGCCTTTACCTGCTACACCTCAGCGCCAACTCCATTAGCCTTTTCACATTCTTTAGTTTTTGAAGTTAGGGGATTTTTATTTTATTTTTTTAAATTTATTCGTTTGAAAGGCAGAGTGTGGACCAGCGCTGTGGCTCAGCTGGCCTGAAGAGCCAGCATCCCATATGGGTGCCAGTTCAAGTCCTGGCTGCTCCTTTTCTGATCCAGCTCTCTGCTATGGCTGGGATAGCAGTGGAAGATGGCCCAAGTCCTTTGGCCCCTGCACCCACGTGGGAGACCCGGAAGGAGCTCCTGGCTCCTGGCTTCACATCTGCGCAGCTCTGGCGGTTGTGGCCATCTGGGGAGTGAAGACCTCTTCCACCCGCTGGTTCACTCTCCAAATGGGTGTGTTGGCCAGGTCTGGGCCTGGCCTGAAGCCAGGAGCCTGGGACTCCATCTGGGTCTCCCACATGAGTGGCAGGGGCCCATGTACTTGGGTGAGCATCTGTTGCTTTCCCAGGTGCGTTGTCAGGGAGCTGGATTGGTACTGCAGCAGCCAGAATTCGAATTTGCAACCATACAGGATACTGGCATCAAAGGCTATGGCTTTGCCCACAGTGCCCCAATGCCTGCCTCCAATTTCTGGAATTTTAAAATCATGGCTTCTCATCTGTAAAATCACAAAATGGGAATAGGCCATAGGAGTGGGACAGTAATTCTGTAAGAACATTTTGGGGTGGGGGAGATGGTTATGGGTGGTTGTCCAAGGGTTTGGGGCAGAAGGGGAACATGATCTATCTGGAGTGTGTTTCAAAGGAGAGAACTACAGTGCTTTGAACATATAGCCTGTCTACGAAGAAATATGATCTCAGCGGCGTTCTTGTCACACCCAACCCTACCCCTGCATCTTGTTGACAAAATGTAGCCCCTTTGTTAACCCCATCAAGATGATCCTGAGTGTCTTGGGCAGTAGCCTATGATCTGTACCTTGAAGGTGAGTTCACACACTGGGTGAGGGAGCACTTTGTTTAGGTCCTCAGGGCAGCAGGAGAGTGGAGTGGCATGGATGGAAGAGTGAGGATCCGGCAATCTATCCAGTTCTACTGTCAAGGGTGGCTGAAGTTCTGTTACATAGCCCTATCTGGGAGCCACTCTGGTGAGCAGTGACTTAGAAGTGGCAAAGAAATTTTTTTGTGTGGAATTAAAGATTTATTTACTTATTTGAAAGGCAGAGTTACAAAGAGGCAGAGAGAGAGATAGGTTTTCCATCCACTGGTTCACTCAAATGGCTGCAACAGCTGGAGCTGGACCGATCTGATGGCAGGAGCCAAGAGCTTTTTCCACGTCTCTCATGTGGCTGCAGAGACCGCTGCACCAATCCGAAGCCAGGAGCCAGGTGCTTCTTCCTGGTCTCCCATGCAGGTACAGGGGCCCAAGCACTTGGGCCATCCTCCACTGCCCTCCTGGCCACAGCAGAGAGCTGGACTGGAAGAGGAGCAACTGGGACTAGAACCCGGCGCGCACATGGGATGCCAGCGCTGCAGACGGAGGATTAACCAAGTGAGCCACGGTGCTGGCCCCTAAAATTGCATTTTTAATTTTTTATTTGAAATTCAGACTGTGAGGGAAAAAGAGAGCTTACATACCCTATATATTCCCCAAACTGCTGCAATGGTGAGGGCTGGGCCTGGGCACAGCCCAGAATTCCATCCATTGGTCTCAGATGGTTGGCAGCAGTCCAAGCACCTGGGTCAATCTTGGCTGCTTTCATATGAGATGCTTGTGTTGCAGGCAATGGCTTAATTAGCTGTACAACAGTGCCAACCCCTTTTTTTTTCTTTAAAGATTTTTAGAGAGCTATTGCAGTCATCTGGGGGTGACCCAGTGGAAAGAATGTATTTGTCACTTATCCTTTCAAATTTTTTTTCTTAGCATTTATTCAAGGCACAGTGATGTGATGGAGGGAGATCTGCCTTCTGCTGGTTCATTCCCGTAAATGCCTGCAACAGCCAGATCTTTGTCCTGGCTGAAGCCAGGAGCTAGGAACTACCATCTGGTGTCCCAATGGTGTTACTGGACCGAATTACTTGGACCATAGTCTGCTTCCTGTATGTACTAGCAGGAAGCTGGACAGGAAGTGGAGAAGCTGGGACTATAACCAGGGTCATCAGTAAGAGATGGTGGGCATTCCAGGTGACAGCTTAAGCCACTATGCCATGGTGCCTGCCTCTTTTAGCTAAGTGAGGTTGTGCTATAATGTGGAGAGTTCAGGGGACTTGCATTGGACTGGGAAAATATGAAAGACATTGCATGACTTATATTAGGCCTAGAGAATGAAGGTTGTGGTGTGATGGTTTTGAGCCAGAACAATGATCGTATTCCTCTATCTAAGAATGTATGTGGAAGATTTGCCAGGAAGAGAGCCCCTGCTTTGAAAAGCAGGAGGATGAATGAGCCTGAGGGAGGTAGTGCATTTTCCTTGTGCTACACACTACCTAATTGAGCTGGGAGATGCCTGCCAACCTCGAGAAAAGTAATCTTAGATCACTGCCCCTAGGAATGTCCATAGCGTACCTTTTGTTCAGTACACCCCTTAGCTGTTCTTTAACTTGATAAGGTAGTTACTGTGCTTAGCTTTTAGGGCCTTGGGACCCTTATGCTTCTTGGGCTCAAATCCCAATATCCCATGTTAAAAGCAAGAATAAGCCGGCGCCGTGGCTCAGTAGGCTAATCCTCCACCTTGCGGCGCCGGCACACCGGGTTCTAGTCCCGGTTGGGGCGCCGATTCTGTCCCGGTTGCCCCTCTTCCAGGCCAGCTCTCTGCTATGGCCAGGGAGTGCAGTGGAGGATGGCCCAGGTGCTTGGGCCCTGCACCCCATGGGAGACCAGGAAAAGCACCTGGATCCTGGCTCCTGCCATCGGATCAGCGCGGTGCGCCGGCTGCAGCGGCGGCCATTGGAGGGTGAACCAATGGCAAAAGGAAGACCTTTCCCTCTCTGTCTCTCTCTCTCACTGTCCACTCTGCCTGTCAAAAAAAAAAAAAAAAAAAAAAGCAAGAATAGAACAAGGTGGTTTAACATTGAGAGGTAACATACTGGCACAGCAGGAAATGGAACCACCTTCTAAATTCTCAAATTTATACCCAGCACACAAAATTGCATTTTTAAGTGAGTTTTTAATTCAAGGGGAAACTACACACCGGGCATGCTTTCCACAAGAGGGGGGGAATAAATACTTTTTTCTGTGTCTGGAGAATGGGTGGGACTCAAGTGTAGACTTCTCTGGATGGCTGTTTGGATGATGCAAAGGGGTCCTATGTTATGGCACAGAAGATGACATCGCTGGAAGTTAAGGTTAGTTGTTTTAGTTACTTTTTTTTTTTTTCTTATCTTTCCCTTTGGAGTAAAGCATATATCTAGGTACATGTAGGTCTCCATCCATTCTGTTGTAGAATTGCCCTTTGGACACTTGATACCACAAAGAAATCAGAACTGCTTAATTACAGCCTTAATATTGTTAACCAAAGTGAACAGGGCAGTCATCCCTAGGAGGAAGTACAAAATAGTTCTAAGCACCAGAAAGTTGGTTCATGAATGCCTTTGGAGTATTTTGCCCACTTGAAGAGGTGTTCATGCCATAACGCATTGCTAATCGCTGTGGGTCTGCCCGTGTGTATTGCATCCGAGGTCTGTGCATATATGGGGTGAAGTGTCTGTTGTGCCCTGTGTTTTACTGCTGCAAATGCCAACATTTACTACAGAAGTGTCTGCAAGTAGATAAAGCATCTTGCTTGTGATGCTGGTTTTCCCCCCCTAGTTTACATTTCAAGATGCATTTGTCACCCAGTTGCCATGGAAATGGCCAGTGGAGTATTTTGGAGTATTTTGCTTTGTGTGTGGGAGCAATGGTAATCTTTCACCTGCAATTGCATGCTGTCAGGCTTCAGAAATGCCAGGTACAGAACTCCTTTGAAGATCAGACAGTAAAGTTTTACTAAATTTTTCTAATTAAAGTGGCACTGTAAAGATTTTAATTCCTGGAGATAAGTATTCCTGCCCACCTGTATGAGGGAGCTTCAAAGGGTTTATAGACAATGTATCCTGTGGGAAAATGTCATGGATTTCAAATATTTTTATGCTATTTGCCCAGAAACACTGAAAGGCCCTTGTAATTAGGTACCATGGATGCAGGTGTTTTGTTTGTTTGTTTGTTTTTTGGTGTACTATTGAAATACAGTACTAATCCTATTAGTAGGGCTCTTGGTGCCTTATTTCCATCTGTAAGTAGGCACTTGATAAAATAAATTGGGCCAGTGAGCATTGGATCCCTGTTTTTCAAATGGTGAGTTGCTAATGTGGAGATTTGGTAGTTCCTAATGTAGTCTTCACCTGCTGCTCCACAGTGGCAGCTCTAATTCTTTAGATGGTGTTGCTAGTGGGACAATAGGTGTGGTAGCTGGGCAAGTTGGCCACAGAGAACACCTCAAGCCTATGCTTTGCCTAGTTTCTGTGGTCAAATAGGGTAGCAATGTTGTGGAGCTTGCATTTTGTTTGCAGATGATGCTCACAGACATGTAACACTACATGTAAATGGACTTCCCCAGTTGTCCACTTTTAGTTGTGCTTTCAAGGAGGATATTATTACATGCTGTTTTCTGGGATTTTAATTTAAGGTGTGTTTGGAACATAGTCCTCCAGTTTTACATACCTAAAGGCTTTTGTGCAATGTTCTCATTATTTTCCTCTCAATTTTGCTAATGTTAAATAGGCTCCAGTACCGGTCTTTGTCTTACAAATTTAAATGTAGTTTAAATGTAGTTTGCACAAAAGGTTGTCCTCACTGGGTCACCCTTTACAAATTAAGTGGACTAGTAAAAGTGAAGAAATTTCCTTACTATAGCACTAATAAAATTGGAAACCAGTAATTCAGTAATAAAGCCATTTGATGGAGCAACTTTCATTTGTCCTTTAAATGTCAGAGTATTTAGGCCCTTTTCATTCTGCCTGAACATCTGATAATCTTGTGGTTTGTTACCATTGCCCTTTGCAAGTAACTAAACACCACTTCTTTTTGGTAGCATTCATTTTTATGGCATATTTTTAGAATTTTAAATTTGAGTCTCTTTAGGCAACTTGGTGACAACAAATAAGCCGGTAATTTTTTCCTGTGGTGTAGTCATTAAAAAGTGCCTTTCGAATAAGTCTTAAAAATTTGATTCAAGGGTAGTTTTAGATATTGCTTATTGGTACCGTAATTGTCTCTGGTTCCCTTTTGTGTTACAGTTGTCATTTTTATAAGGTACTCAAAAGCTTTGGAAATAGTGGTCAGTTCTGTTTTAAATGTATTTGCTGCCATCTGGTGGCCGCAAATGAAGAAATTTATTGGCATGCAGTAAGACATCGTTCCACATGGGTGCGCCCTTGGTAAAAGAATACACATTTCTCGATTCTCCTTCCTTTCCTTGCTGCATTACCAAATGATTGAACCTTTCAGAGTTACTAGTGTGTTTGATTGTGTCCAACATTACAGAATTTGTTTCTATTATTTGAGATGTTAAGGGTGCTATTTAATGTTTCCTGTAAGTGGCTCCCCATCATTGAGTACCTCTAAAATTTGTGAATTCATATGGGCAACCAACTGACAGTAGAAGTTAAATAGTATGTGGTTTGTTCTTAGTTTGGGTTAGTGGCAGCTTGAAGATTCTTGAGGGAATTCTGATTTCAGCAGTTAGATACTGCTGGTGTCATGTTATTGTTTGTACCTTAGTTTCAGTTACATAATACGTAAAGTGGTGGATTTGCTGTTAATAAAAGTAGATTTCAAAGTTTTTGTTTAATTTGAAATGCAGGGTTAGTGCAAGAGAGAGGGAGAGAGCTTTCCTCTGCTGGTTTACTCCCCAAATGCCCTACACAGCAGGTGCTGGGAACTCTCTCTGGGTCTCCTGGTAACAGAGGCTTAGCATTTGAGCCATCATCTGCTGTCTTCCAAGGAGGATGTTAGCAGGAAACTGATAGAAATAAATCAATGTGGGGCACATGGATGAGAGCTACAGGTGTCCCACTGTGCCATAGTGCCTGACCCACTATCAAATATTGAAGTTTCAGAGTCATCTAGATTTAGGCAGTACAGTGGCCTAAAAAGACTAAAGAATATTGGGAAATATTCCAGTACTCAGTACCCAAACAACAATGTAATCTAATATTAATATCTGATTACATGCCAAACAAATATAGCTGGAAGTTTATAGTGTTTCCACACTCAGGGACATGAGTGACATTCAAATTTGTAAGAGGAATTTATATACAGAGGCTCCTGCACTTTAAAACATTTTTAAGGCAAAAAATAAGGACTGTTTTGTGGTAGTGTCATAATTTTATCCTCCGTTTTTCTGATTTTTATTTCCTTAGTAGTACCTGAAATCCTTAGTACCAGAAATTCTGCCCTCTGTCACTCCCTTTTGGAGACTGGCACTTAGTCCCCATTTAGTCACCAGAATGTCCTGTTGAAATGCTAATTGCACTGTTAAGATCTCCAATTTAATGCTGAAAGGAGTGTGCATTGAGTAAGGTCATTGCATTATAATGAGCTTAGCATCTGCCTGAGGGTTTTGCAGAGTGCTTGCTTCCTTACTTGAGCTTGGTTACAGTTACTGGCTTTGGTGGAGATTTTTTCTCTGTACTATCTGGAACATGCCAAGTGTCACCAGCTTGCTGACATTAAGTAATTTTTGTGAAGATTTAGTGTGTTACTCCTGACTTTTGACATGCTTGTATTACCAAGTTCTGCCCACAGATGGAGTTGTAGTACAGTAATCTGATCCCTATACTTGTGAGCCCAAAGTAAGGTTTGTGTGTTTTCAAGTGTTTGATTTATTTTTTATTTTGATTGCTTACAGGTATCAGATTATAGAGTTTGACCTAGAAATCTAACATGTTTATATACAATTTTTAAAGTCAATACTTAGCTGTGTGGTTCTACTTTAAAATCAAATTGAATGTATACTGATGGTTTATTTTCATCTGGCACCAAAGTTAGTTGTGTTTCTCTTAAACCAGTTCATCTTGTGAGAGCACGTTGCTTCATAATTCAGAGCTATTGGAGTGTTAAAGGCTTGATGTACCATTGTTGTAAAATATCCAAGTGTTGGACATTTTAGTATTGTTCTTTTGTTTCAGTGCAGTTGACTTTTATGAAGTGTGATAGTACCTCAGTGAGCACATGGCCGATAAGTCATACTTGATGGCAGAAAGCATGGTATGTGTATCATTTCTATTCTTGTTCTCTGGTTTCTCAATGTTTAAAAAATGGGTCACAAGTATGATGCAGTATTGACTAATGGTTTAGTTTTCCTGCAGTTCTCTAGTAATCTAACAACCCCCATTGCATACTCCATGGTTTGTGTACCCTCATCTCACTTGTAGTTTCAAATATATATATGGCAAAACTGGTCTAGGTAGTGCAGTTCAGTGTTGCAGCTTGTGTTGCTCTGCACATTGGGGTGCCTTTGTGTTGTTTCCTTTCAATTCATTGTTTTTTAGAAAGGGTCCAATATTACCTATTTAACCTTTTACTGCCTTAATTTGCTATCTGGGTTTTTGTCTGGTAGTAACACATTAGACACTAAGTTAGCCACTGCTAACTCTGGGTTGAAGAGTTCTTAAGATACTGTTGCTAGGGCTGGGCTGTGGCTCACTTGGCTAATCTGCCTGCAGCGCCAGCATCCCATATGGGCACTGGGTTCTAGTCTCGGTTGCTTCTCTTCCAGTCCAGCTCTCTGCTGTGGCTCAGGAGGGTAGTAGAGGATGGCCCAAGTGCTTGGGCCCCTGCACCTGCATGGGAGACCAGGAGGAAGCACCTGGCTCCTAGCTTCGTATCCGCGCAGCGCCCGCCGTAGCAACCATTTCGGGGCTGAACCAATGGAAGGAAGACCTTTCTCTCTGTCACTCTGTGTCACTGTCTATAACTCTCTGTCAAAAATTAAAAAAAAAAAAGATACTGTTGCTTCCTGTATCATGAAACTATAGGCCTGTGATTGTCACGCTGGCAATGTTAACTACTGGAATAAAAGTTTGAAGTCATGTATGAGGGGTCTTCAGAAAGTTCTTGGAAAATGTATATGTATGCTATGAAAACTTTGTATGCATTTCAAAAAATTTTGCCATCAAAATAAACTGAATTGCATTTTCCAAAAACTTTTATTCTTATTTTTATTATTAAATTTGAGATACAGAGATCGGGAAGAGAGAGGCACACACAAATCTCCCATCTGCAGGGTTACTCCCCAGATGCCCACAATAGCTGGCGCTGGGCCAAGCCAAAGCTGTAAGCTGGGAATTGAATCCAGCTCATTCTGGATCTCCCATGTAGGTGGCAGGGGGCCATCACGTGTTACTTTTAAGAGAGCACATTAGTAGATGGTGGAGCCAGGAGTGGGGCTGTGACTTGAACCCAGGCACTGGATTAGGGCATGTGTGTGTTCTAAGGGCCAAGTGCTTGTCCCTTCTGTGACCTTTTTGAAGCACCCTCATGTGTTTTGTAGATAGCACATAGATTATTTTTTAAAACATTATTCTAAAGTGTTTTGATTGGAGCCTTTTTTGTGTTCACATTTCATGTAATTACTGACAAAGTAAAAAATTACTGATGTCTGCTGTTTTGCTAATTGTTTTCCATACGCCTTTGCCTCTCTCTGCCCTCCACATTCATCCATTACTGCCTTGTTAAATATTGTGTCTATTTCAGTTCTCATTTATTTTATTGTAATTTTTGAGGATTTTAAACATTCTTTTTGTGTAGTTGCTCTGGTATTGCAATTTACATTATACATTGAAATAATTCAGATGATTATCAATTTGATTTTGGTGACATACAAATTATCTTTCATTATGTCCACTTCTTCCTTTGTGCTATTATAAATATTACATTTGTATTCAGTAACAACTTCAACAATTTCGTATTATTCCTGGGGGCAATTTTTCAAAGTTGTAATGTAAAGGCGGAGTGACAGCCACACAGAGAGAGATTGATCTTCCATCCACTGGTTTATTCCCCAAATGACCCAACAGCCAGGGTTCGACTAGGCTGAAGCCAATAGCAAGGAAGTCCTTCCTGGTTATGGGTAGCATGGACCCAAATACTTGAGCTACTTCCTAGGGTGTGTATTATAAGGAAGCTGGATTGGACTAGGAAGTTGCAAATTGATCCCCGGCATTCTGATATGGGACATGTGTGTCTCCAGTGCCAGCTTTTATCTTCTGTACCACAACATTTGCCTCTAGATAGTTTTCTTTCAAGTCTGGTTTGAGAAGAAACTTTTTAATTTTTTTAAAACTTTTATTTAATGAATATAAATTTCCAAAGTACAGCTTATGGATTACAATGGCTTCCCCCCCCCCCCATAACGTCCCTCCTACCCACATCCCTCCCCTTTCTCACTCCCTCTCCCCTTCCATTCATATCAAGATTCATTTTCAATTCTCTTTATATACAGAAGATCAGTTTAGCATACATTAAGTAAAGATTTCAACAGTTTGCTCCCACACAGAAACATAAAGTGAAAAATACTGTTTGACTACTAGTTATAGCATTAAATCTCAATGTACAGCACACTAAGGACAAAGATCCTACATGAGGAGTAAGTGCACAATGACTCCTGTTGTTGACTTAACAAATTGACACTCTTGTTTATGGCCTCAGTAATCACCCTAGGCTCTTGTCATGAGCTGCCAAGGCTATGGAAGCCCCCTGAGTTCACTGACTCTGATCATATTTAGACAAGGCCATGGTCAAAGTGGAAGTTCTCCCTTCAGAGAAAGGTACCTCCTTCTTTGATGACCCATTCTTTCCACTGGGATCTCACTCGCGGAGATCTTTCATTTAGGTTTTATTTTTTTTTTCCCCAGAGTGTCTTGGCTTTCCATGCCTGAAATACTCTCATGGGCTTTTCAGCCAGATCGGAATGCCTTTAGGGCTGATTCTGAGGCCAGAGTGCTGTTTAGGACATCTGCCATTCTATGGGTCTGCTGAGTATCTCACTTCCCATGTTGGATCATTCTCTCCCTTTTTGATTCTATCAGCTAGTATTTGCAGACACTATTGTTTATGTGATCCCTTTGGTTCTTAGTCCTATCATTGTGATCAATAGTGAACAGAAATTGATCACTGGGTCTAGTGAGATGGCATTGGTACATGCCTCCTTGATGGGATTGAATTGGAATCCCCTGGTATGTTTCTAACTCTTACCGTTTGAGATAAGTCAGCTTGAGCATGTCCCGAATTGCACATCTCTTCCCTCTCTTATTCCCACTCTTACATTTAACAGCAATCACTTTTCAGTTAAGTTTCAGCATTTAAGAAGAATTGTGTATTGATTACAGTATTCCACCAAAAGTATTAAGTAGAACAAACAAAAAAAAATACTAAGAGGGATAACATTAGGAACAAAAATAGATTTATTCTGTCTTAAAAGGCAGAGTTGTTGAGAGATTTTTCATCTGCTGGGTTACTCTCCAAAAGACACAACTTCCAGATCTGGGCCAGGAATTGCATCCAGGTCTCCCAAGTGTGTGGCAGAGGCCCAAGCACCTGGGGCATCTTCTGCTGTTTTCCCAGATACTTTGGCAAGGAGATAGAGGGAAAGTCTGCCAAGACTGAATGGGTGCTCATATGGAATGTCATTGTTATAGGCAGTGGCTTAGCCAGGTGCCCGCAATGCCCCCACCCCCATTCTTTTTTAATTATGTAATTTTACTGGTGCTGTTTACTTTCCATATGTTATTTGCTATTTAAAGTGCTTTGATTTTTGCCCATAAGAATACTGCTCAGAATTTCTTTTATGGCATATCTGGTAGCATTGAATTCCTTTCTGGTTTGTTTACTTATGAATATCGTAATTTCCCATTTCTTTTTCTTTTTTTTTTTTTTTTTAAGATTTATTCTTTTGAAAGAGTTACACAGAGAGAAGGAGAGGCAGAGAGAGAGGTCCTCTTTCCATCAGCTGAACAGGTCACTCCCCAATTGGCTGCAATGGCTGGAGCTGGGGAGGAAATTTCTCCGGGACTCCCACGCGGATCAGGGGCCCAAGGACTTGGGCCATCATGTACTGCTTCCCCAGGCCATAGCAGAGATGTGGAGCAGCCAGAACTAGAACCGGCGCCCATATGGGTTGCCGGTACTGCAGAAGGCAGCTTTACCTGCTATGCCACAGTGTGGGCCCTTCTCATTTCTTAACGGTGAATAGTTTTGCTGGATACTTAATTTGCAGTTGACAGAAATTTTTTTTAAAAGATTTAATTATTTATCTGAAAGGCAGCTGTCTTCCAACAGCTGACTCACTTCCCAAATGGCTGCAATGACTGGACCTGTTCTGATCTGAAGCCAGGAGCTTTCTCTGGGTTTCCAATGCAGTTGCAGGGGCCCAAGGACTTCAGCCATCTTGCACCGCTTTTCCAGGCTATAGCAGAGAGCTGGATCAGAAATGGAGCTGCCAGGACTCGAACTGGAACCCATATGGGATGCCAACACTGCAGGTGGCAGCTTAACCTGTTATGCCGCAGTGCCTGCCCCTGACAGTAATTTTTCTTAAGCAGTTTGAATATAGTCTACTGTCTGCTCTTTGATTTATAAGAATTATTGTGGCCAGACAGCATGCTGCTATGCTTTCCTAGATGTCTAGTTTTAGTAACTTTATGTATTAGGGTAAATCTCTCATTTTTTCCCAAGATTTGATTATTATTCTCATAGTTATTTCCAATGTACCTTAAAAATATTTTGTTGAGTATTAAGCACAAGCAGCATTGAAATTCCCATTGCAATGACACTGAATTGATAGATTAATTTCCAGAGAGTTATAACTTTCATAATCTTCCCGTACATTAACGTGACATTTCTTTGCTTTTGTTCAGGGCCTCACTATGTGAGTATATCACTTATTACCTTCCATCTCAGTTTCTGAAGGACATAGATGTCTTAGGAATTCTTATTCTGATGGGAAAATATAGAAGATGGTGTTTGCATGGTTTATAGTCCAACAGTACACAAGGTCACTCCAAATATAATTTGGATTTTATGTTACCATTTTTTCCCAGATGTCTCTAGGAGCCCACATTGATGCGATAGCTAGTGTTACAATTACCTAGTAAGCTGTTTGTATTTAGTTATGTCAGTATTCGTTTGACCTTTCTTCCATCCTGCAAGCTACTGGAGATTTAGTGATCATTGTTTAGAAGAGTTGGATTAGTTGAAGACCGTTAAATCTTCCAGTGTAGCACCAACTTGTATTCTTACTAGAAATGTATTTATAACTAAGGAGGGATAAATTCTGTTGTAGTTGATGGGTTTATTTCAATTCTAAGAGTAAACTCTGAGAGAGGTAGAAGAAAACACTCAGGATATAGAGTGCGGTCAACTGTCCAGGGATGCAAGTACCCTTGGAGTTGATACCCAGAAGCTCGTAATCGCATTTGGAAAGCAATTTGAGGATCTCCCCGCATGGAGTGAGAAGTTGGATTACACGCACTTGAAAGTCACTTTTTTTGCTGAGATTCTATAAAGGTTCCAATTAACAAATGAAATGGATTTTTATTGTATGCCTGTCTCACATGTTCCCATTTAATCATCACTACAACCCTCTGTGGCATGCCAGAGACCTACAATAAGTTTGCTAAGGTAACTTACTTAATTAATGGCAAAGCATACTACTCTCTCACCATACAACTTAGATTACAATAGTAATTCCTTAAATTTGTATAGGACTTTACCATTTTACAAGCATGTCTTTTTTATTATTATTATTTTTTAGTTTTTTGACAGGCAGAGTGGATAGTGAGAGAGACAGAAAGGTCTTCCTTTTGCCATTGGTTCACCCTCCAATGGCCGCCACGGCTGGTGCGCTGCGGCCGGCACACCCCGGCCGGCGCATCCTGCTGATCCGAAGGCAGGAGCCAGGTGCTTCTCCTGGTCTCCCATGGGGTGCAGGGCCCAAGGACTTGGGCCATCCTCCACTGCCTTCCCAGGCCACAGCAGAGAGCTGGCCTGGAAGAGGGGCAACCGGGACAGAATCCGGTGCCCCAACCGGGACTAGAACCCGGTGTGCTGGCGCCGCTAGGTGGAGGATTAGCCTAGTGAGCCGCGGCGCCGGCCACAAGCATGTCTTTATTTGATCTTTAAAGCAATCTGGCAAAATAGAAAAAGCATTCCACCAGTGTGTCTATTAAAAAAAAATTTTTTTTTTTTTAATTTGAGAGGCGGAGAGGGACCTGGAAAGCTTTCATGTGTTTGTTCACTTCCATAATGCCTGTGATTACCAGGGCTGAGCCAGTGATGATGATGCCAGGTGTCAGGAACTCAATTTGGGTCTCCCATGTGAGTAGTAGGAACCCAGTCAGTCCAGCCATCAGCACTGCCTCCCAGGGACTGCGTTAGCAGGAAGGAATTATTAACTAGAGCCAAGAATCAAACCCAAGTACTCCAATGTGGACATGGGCATTTTTCTGCGTATCTTAATTGCTTGGCCACATACGCACCCCCTATATACTTAATTCACACGTAGAAAACAGGTTCAGAAATTCTTTGGAATATGTGCGGGTAGAAAGGATCCATGAGAACATTTCATTACAACTTTCACATTTTGCAGTTGATGAAACTTGAATAATAGACGTCTACATGCTTTGTAGGTACTGTTTTAGGAAGGGGAAGGTCAGACTAAATGATCTCATGGGATTTGTGGGGAGGGATGTATTTGGATTCACTGTAGGGTATGTACTTGACTGATAATAACCATATTTAAAGGCATCAAATATTTAAGGGAGGATTTAAAACTTCAAGTATTAAGTTGTAGAAGATAATTTGAGGCTGGTGCCGCGGCTCAATAGGCTAATCCTCCGCCTGCGGCGCTGGCACCCCGGGTTCTAGTCCCGGTCAGGGCGCCAGATTCTGTCCCGGTTGCCCCTCTTCCAGGCCAGCTCTCTGCTGTGGCCAGGGAGTGCAGTGGAGGATGGCCCAAGTCCTTAGGCCATGTGCCCACATGGGAGAACAGGAGAAGCACCTGGCTCCTGGCTTCGGATTAGCGCAGTGCGCTGGCCGCAGTGGCCACTGGGGGACGAATCAACAGAAAAAGGAAGACCTTTCTCTCCCTCTCACTGTCTACTCTGCCTGTCAATAATAATAATAATTTGAGTCATGAGATCTTTGCCCTTAAAAGCATTTAAAATATTTCCTGCTCCAGGTTCAAAGAGCAGCCTATTAAAGGGCCACCAGATAATGGGTTATGTGATAAGATTTGCAATCAATTCAGTATGGATAATAACAAGGTTTCAGTTCTTTTTCATAGCTATGGGAGCCACCATGCACTCATGGGCCTGATACTGGCTCAGAGTTGTGGCTGTTACTAAGTTCCAGAGCAAGCCTATGCTTAGTCATTTGTTTCACAAAGGTTGTTTTTTTTTTTTTTTTTTTTCCAAAAGTGGAGGCTTTTGTACAGAAGACCTAATTGAGGAAGAAATGGCCTTAGTTATTTGTAGTGTCTAAATTACTTTATTTTGCCTAGAGAATTTTTAAGTATTTAAAGCTAAACCTACAAATATATACAATATTTTGAAATCTCAACATTTTGGTATTTTTTTTACAAAGCCATAGCATCATAATGTTCTTTGGGAAATTTTGCACTGATTTTTGGGATTCAGAACATGGCTTTCTGTGTCCAGAATGCTTAGGAGGGAGATTGTGTTTAAGTGGAACAGTGTTTCTCAGAGGACCTTAGCAAATTTGTCATCCTGGAGGGACCTAGGAGGAGTAAGAGCACTTCAGGAAGTAGTATAGTGAGAATTTGGGCCTTGAGACTGCATAGCTTGGGTCATATGTGCTCTCACACCTACCACTGTATTCTTGAGCATGATTCCCCCAGCTTTTTGAAACTTTATGTTTTCTCTTTTGTAAAGTAGAATAATTGTTTCCAACGGTAGGGTGAAGTAAGGACTTCATGGAGCTATATATGTAAATCACTTAGAACAGGTCTGGAATATATTAAATGCTTATCGACTATGATTGTTGTTGATAACAATATTTGAGTATTAACAAAGATTAAAAGAAAGTCTCTTTGAAACATTTATATTTGTTGATATTAGGGTTGAGAAAGAAAAACTAACTGGCCTCAAAATTTTCCATGGCGTGCTAGTGTCAAGTCATTTGAACACATTTTCTCTACCAGGTTGACCCAGGTGAAGATAGTTCATGCTCTGATAACAGATGTACATTGCCTTGGCTCTTACTTCCCCAAGGAATCCTATTTAAAAGTTGTGTGTCACCTGCATAAAGGTTACCGGAAAAAAAACAGAAGAATGCTTTGTAGTTGGTCAGAACTGGATTTGAAATCCAATTCAACTGCTTACTAGCTGTGTTATCTAAGGCATGTTGCTTAACCTTGAATCTTCATCTAATGCAGCAATTAATTTTCAGGGTTTCTGTGAAGATATTTGTAAAGTGTATGTCATAGGCAAGCTTTATACATTACAGCTATTCTTGCTAGTTCTTGGGACTTTCACCGTGTGACAGAAACAACAGCAGGCCCTGGTGCCTGCAAGGACTTCATGGATCCAGCAGCAACTTGGAATGGTGCTCCTCTGAAGAAATCCTACTTGGATGGATATAATACAACCTGCTAAGTGTCCTAGCACTTAGCAGGTTGTATTATCATTGTCCGAGTCTATGGTTCTCCGTCTGCTAGACTAAATTCCTTAAGGGCAAGGACAGTGCCTTATTCATCTTTGTATTCACAGTGCCTAATCCGGTGCACATTGTAGGCCTCATTAAATGTTTGTTGAATGAAAAAATGAATCATCAACAGACATTAATTGGGCGCCTGCTCTGTGATCTCCATGGGCTCAGCTTGTCCCCGCCAGTTGCCTACAACGTCCAAGCTCTTCAAGTTTCTGAAGTTTACTTGTGTCTTCTAATTCTCACACTGAGGACTTTTTTGTGTAGTGCAATGATAGCAATACATTTCATCTTGAATTCCATCTCCAGTTGATTGGTAATGCCTGCCTTAAGTATGTTTTATAAAAAGGATTCTGAAACCAAGTCTCATGTAGTATAAAAGAATTGTAAATAATTAGTGATGTCTGCCGTGGTTGGGAGAAGGGGTAGTAGCAGCACAAGTGCCTCAAATATGTCATATTTGATGCTGTGTTTTTATGAAATACTCTGTGCCTGCCTTTTAATCTTGGCTGCTTGCAGATGTTGCATGGCTGCTTCTGCTGTTGCTATAATTGCTGCTAGTTGCTTCCTAGTTGAGGCCAAAGGGGTCATTAGTTGAGCAGGAACTACATCCCCATAGTCTTGGGTTTGCTCCTGTGGCTGGCGTTCACAGTTTTCCCCTTTCAACTTTACCCCAAATATCTCCATACTTGCATTGACAGATAGGACTCCTCTTTCTGTTTACCACCCTGCGGGCTCCTATTTCCTTTATCATATTTAGTATGCCCAGTCATTATTCCACGAGAAGCCTTTCGGTTTACAGTTGTGATAAGCACACTGGGCCAGGAACAAAAGGCTTCGGTGACTGAGGAGTGATCTGGAGGTGGACAATGTCACAGATGTTAGAGAAGAGAGGTTGCAGTCTACTAGTATAAGACTTAGAAGAGTGTTGGGATCCGGGTGACCTTTTCCTTTACTGAGTTCTTGCTCTGTTTCTTTGTCTCTTTGGGGTCTCACATTTCATGTGTGCAAGAATGAGCAGCAATCCCTGATGAGGTTATCTGCTGGCCCTTCGGCCTGCTGTTATCCTGAGACCATCTCCCAACTCTTTGAAAGAGCAGCAGATTGGTCAGCTTTAAATAGCATACAAAGATTTCCTTTGGAACCAAATGTTTCCCTGTCCTTGACTGTTAGTTAAATGGTGCTGTCTTATCTGAAGCGCCATCTTAGGCTCTGGCCCAGTCGCCATCTTGCACAGTAAACTTTGGTTGGTCCTAATCCCAGCCTGGCTTACTAGAAGACAGGTGGCCAAATGGCCCGAACACAAGGGTCAACTCCACCCCACACTAAAGAAATAGGCTGCTCCCACTTCCTTAGCCCTGCAAAGCTATAACAAAGCCTGCTTTCCTACACAGGCCCTCTTTCTCTTTTCGCTCTCTTGCCCTCTTTCGCCAGCCTGTTGGGGTTCTCCCCCGCAAAATAAACTTTTCCTTTAACTGGTGTTTGGTGTGTTTTGTAGTGGCGTTTCATTGACTTGAGTTCATTACATCTTACAAGTTTCATTGGCCAATGTTTCATAATGTGTTCTGACTTGCAAGTCTGAGTTAAGTGAATTAATGCTGCCCTCCTGGAAAAAAATATGTACAGTATTTTAAAGATACTCAGATTTATTTGCCAGAGCAAGACAAACTGCTGTTAATGATGAATTCTACTTTTAGGATAGACATGAGAATGATCAGATTTACAGGTGAGTAAGAAAACCACTTTGTAAGAGCCCTTAAAGGGTTAGGATACATCCATTTCTGTGACCCATATTGTAGTACTTCCCTGTAGTATTGGGAAATAGAGCTGGAACTTTGAGAAATGGCCTCAAGGATTTGGAAGGTAAAGTTTAGAAGACAGTCTGGATCTCTTTACATTACATGCCGACATTTTTTTCTTCAGTACATTTTTTTTTATTTGTGGGAAAGGATTGGATTCTGTTATAATCTCTCAGTGAGTCAATATTCCAAGAAAGATCGAAGAATGTGTTTAAGTCATGAAGCTCTGAGGCACCCCATCCCCTGTAGGGGCTACTTTGTATTTATTCCTCAGGAGGAGCTGGTAGAAGCCTTCGCGTGAGGGAGAAGAAAAGCACCAAGGATGACTACAGCCTCTCTTCATCACAGCTAACCAAGGATCACTCTCTTGAGACTCTCCAGTCCTCAGGTAGCTGTTTTCAATTGCATACTTAGCCCTCTCTTTCCTCCTGTTCAGAAAGTATAGCATACTCATGAATATGTGTGGATGAACTGTTACTTCCCCAAAAAAGCTGCCCATGGTCACTACAAAAAAAAAAAAAGCCCTAAAATATGGTAGAGTATATGCTCTTGTAAGCCTGGAGTATAGGCCACCTGAGATGAGTGTCAGCCACAAAGGCCCCCAGTTTCACTGATTTGAAGGTAATCCAATCTCTGCTCATTTTCTTTTGTTTCCCTCTTAAACTCTATGCACTGCTCTGGCCCATACATATGCCAATGGGAGCTGGGCTCTTAAATTAACATTTCCTTTGCATTTCTTAAGACCCAGAGTGGTTTGAATGCTGAGGCTGAGGTTGTATTTGCTGTAGTTGGGTAATTTTCATGTTGATTAGTGTGAAACCCATTCTTCCCCCTTAAGGCAGCCATTGGAGAAGTTGCCCCAGGACTTGCTCCTGGAAGTTTTAACTGATAATGAAATGTCAGTAGGAGAACTTTCCTCAACCCAGCCCCCACTTCTGACTTGGCCATCAACTATTACGACTTTAGGACAGAACTCTTAGGAGTGAACTGTCAGCAGTTCTGCTGAGATTTTTGCCTTTTTCAGGGCTAAGCAGGAGAAGGTATGAGAGAAATGGAAAGTCTTGTGCCTTTCAGTTATGTTTCCAGTGAATCCCCAGCACACTCTTGTGGGGCCATATCCTAGATCTTCTCTTCCTCTTGCTCTCACTAACCTCCCTCCATTTCTTGCAGGGTTTCTTCAGGTTTGTTTCTCTTGCCTTCCCCTTAAAGTTATCTGGAACAGCCTCCATCTGGGGGGAGCTTTACTGTGCATGAAACCTCAGTGAGTGTTGAGACTGATGTCCCTGTTGCTCTCTGGATATAAGAAGGCAGTGAAATGCCTTAATCAACATTTTTAGTGGACACTGAACCTAGAAGCTTTGAAGGAAGCAAACTTGAGAACTCTTGATATTTGAGTGAAGACAGAGTGAACTCTTTATTGCCTTCAGGAATGGAGGGAGGGAGGAGAGGGCATAAATGCTCTACTGTGATGGAGCAGGCAGTGATTACTTCATAAATCTATAACTTTTATAAGTTGTTGCCCAGCACTACCTCTGCAGCTACTTGTGAGAGTCACTGCCAGCCACTATTTTAGGTTGGTTGGGATGCCTTGCGGTAAGTTTCTGTTCCCCCAATGGAGAACCCAGGACAAGGTTTGCAACTTTGAAGATTTCTCTCATCAGGCGTCAAGGTGTCATGGACATTGACCAAAGAAACCAAATAGCACTCAAGGCTTTGGGTAGAAAGGCATACAGTTTATTTACTAGACTCATGTCTCAAGACTCAAACCCTAATCCTCTGTCATTCTCTACTTGAATACTGTAAATTTAGCAAGGCAGTAAAGAAGCAGTTTTGAGACAGTTTGGGGCAGTTTCAGGGCAATTTAAGTTGAGCACACTGTTTTCTTAGGCCCTCAGGGACTAACAAATCACAATTGCAAAGTAGGATAGCTTTATAATATAGTACCCAGTAAATTATAACTTAAAGACAGTTTCAGGAGGCATGCAACTATCTTAGGTATGAGGTGAGGCCCTAGGTATGCAACTGACTGGTGGTTGGGGAACCGGTTTCTAACTCAGTACTGGTTTGCCCTTTGAAAATGAGTGGTAGGGAGTCTGCAGCATTCCCTTGAATGCCATGGCTCCTTAATGGCAAGCAGGATTGGGTGGGGTCTGTAGCAGGACTGAGGAGGCAGCAAAAGCTGTACTAAATAACCATTTTTTTTTTAAATACATGGGTCAAGTACAGTGGACAGAATGGCTCCAGGCATGCCCAAATACCATATCTGGCACAAGGAAACCAACAAGGAAAGGTCCATTTTTTATCCTATTATTTGTTATTCCCCAGGGCAGGATGGAATGTCTGAAATAAAAAGAAGAGCTACTTTGGAGAAGGTTGTGAAAGATTCTTAAATAGAGAAGGTTTAAAAGAGAAACTGTATTACATAAGGTTGGTATTACAAGTTTTTTTTTTTTTTTTTTTTAAAGATTTATTTTATTTGAAAGGTATAACAATACACAGATGGGGAGAGAGATAGGGAGTGCCACTATCTGCTGGTTCTCTCACAAAATGGCTGCAATAGCCAGATCTAGTCCAGGCTGAACCCAAGAACCAGGAACTCCATGCAGTTCTCCCACATGGGTGACAGGGGCCTAAGTACTTGGGCCATCATTTGCAGCCTTGCTAGGCATCGTTAGCTGGAAGCTGAATCAGAAGTAAGAGTAGCAGGTACTTGGACTGGCACTCTAATATGACAGTGTCATTAGTGGTAGCTTAACCTACTGCGCCACAACACCAGCCCCTTCTTAGAGCTTTTAAAGATATCTGTTCTGTGTGTGGGTCAAGTAATCTGATCGCATAATCAGCTTGTGGCTTACAAGGCCAGTTTAGCTGATAGATTTTATGCTCTTGTGGTGATGGTGCCATCCTCTCTTGCACTGTGGCAGGTATATATTGCTAGTGAGTGCAGCAGCTGAAGGAGAGGACAGCAAGCACCCAGTGGAGAACAATATGTCTTTACCAGTGAAGATAGCAACTGAAAAGATCATGGGGTTGGCTAGATTGCACTGGACCTTTTTTTTTAGATAAAGGATTTTTTTGTTGATAATAAAAATAGATTGTCATTGTGAAAAAGTAAAAGACATATAATTTTATAAGTCAGAAAATAACATTTTGTTATTTAACAAAATAACATTTGGGCATATTTATTCTCAGTCTTAAAAATATAATATAGCAATTTTGCTATGCAATTTTGCTATTTTTAACAATTGACCTCATTCATATTACATATATTATTTTATTCTTCAATGTTTTGCATCTGAAATTTTGCAAGCATATTTGCTTGTCATTATTGTTCTTTATATTAAGTGCATAATATGTGGACCTAATGAAATTTATTTAGATGTTACCATGTTGCTGGTCAGTAACAATTTTGTAATGAAGATCATTGAACATTAATCTTTATGTGCATCTTTAATTATTTATGGTAAATTTCTATCATTGGAATTATTTGGTTTGAGAACTTTATTAGGGAATCTAAAAGGTGCTGTTATTGCCCTCAACACAGTTGTACAAGTTACATTCCCAACAGTAGTATATAAATGGGAATGTTTCTTCACACACTCACTAAAACAATCACCTTTCTCTTTTTATAAATCTCTGCTATTTTGCTAAGGAAACAGACCTTTGTCACTTTAAATGTGTTATTTCTAATTTCTATCTGGTAGAATTCACTGTTGATGGAGTACAGTTCTGTGGGTAAAAGTCATGTGTATCCCCTCCAGTTCCATGTGGAATAGTTCTATCATTGTCATAATTTCTCTTGGTGACTGTTCTTGTATTCAACCACTTTTCACACACCCCATCTCTGGAAATCACTGATGTGATTTTGCCTTTTTCAGAAGGTTATATAAATGGATTCATGCATTTAATCTTATATATTTCATATAGTAAAATGAATTTCGGATTTACCCATATTGTTACATGCATCACTAGTTCATATCTTTTCATTGCTGCATAGGATTTCATTTTAAGTATACATCACCATTTTTATCCATTCACTAACTGATAAACGTGTGAGATGTTTCCAGTTTTGATTGTAAATAAATTTACTGCAGATGTTCCGGTACAGGTCTTGTATGATTTAAATGTTCATTTATTTAGGGTGAATGCCTAGGGGTATGTATCAGTCACCATTTTGTTACTATAACAAGTACTTTAGAGAAGCTACTCAACAATAAGAAGTTTATTTTCCCTCAGTGTTTTAGAGGTGTACAATCCAAGATCATGTGAGACCTGTTGGTTCAGCAAATTGGTGAAGCCAGAGACAATGGCAATGGCAGTGTGTTTCGAGTAAAGATCACACGTGAGCTAGGAAGCAGAGACAGACAGAGGCAGGGCCCAATTCAGCTTTAATATAACACTCTCAAGGAAATGACCTTCCAGGTGTATGGCCCAAAGACTTAGGGACCCCATTAGGCCCACCTGCTAAATATCATAACTAGATCAAGTCTCCAACCTCCCCAATTCATTAACATATGGTTTTGGTGATTAAATGTCTGCATTAGTTTGGGAGCCAAATCCTGTTCAAATAATAGCATTCTACATTTTGCTTCCCCAATCATTATCCTCCCATACACCATATGATCATTCAACCCTGAAATAAGCCCAAAGTCCAAAGTGTCATTTGAAACCTGAGGCAAACTCCTTGAGCCTATAAAAATCCAAGTTACATATTTCTACGATATCAATGGTAGAATAGGCACAGTGTAAACCATCCCATTCCAAAAGGAAATGAAAGGGAAATAGGAAGGAGGAATTTGGCTAAGGCAAGCCTGAAAACCAACAGGTGAACACTAAAACCTCATGTTCCAAGTTGGGCATCCTAGGCACACTGTTGAAGGATGAGCTTTGAAGAGCTTGGGCAGCCCCTCCACTATGGTCATTGCCCATGCTTTGCTTTTTGCAGATTGGAATTTGTTTCTGCAGCTCTGCTCCACAATTCTACTTGTCATTGCTCTGGGAGAGGCTCTCTGCAGTGGCTCTGCTCCTGCCAGATCTGTGCCTGGGCACCCAGTTTGTCCAACACATCCTTTGAAATCCGTTAAGTCCTCTGTGCCTCTGCAGCTCTGTGGGTCTTTGTCCACATGGCTGCTCTGTGACCCTGCTTGCTGATGTCTGCAATTTTCCAATGCTTGTGTTATACAATCCTTGAACCTTTCCCTGGCAGATAGTTCATGTTACCAATATCTCTGCTTTTCTTGGGTCTCCACCATGGCTTCACTCCCACAGCTTTATGAGGCATGACCCTGTCAGAGCCCTGTGCAGGGGCTCCAGTCTTGTGACTTAACTCTGCCTAGCCTTCCTTTCAAAGGCTTTCTTTTGAAATCTTATTGGAAGCCATCATGACCGCTTAACTCTTCTATACCTGAAAAACAAGCATCATGTGGCCGAGGCTCAGGCATGCCACCAGCACAAGCCACACTTGAGCCAGGACTGTGCTAACCTTAGAACAATTTTCCTGCCAGTCACAATCCACACCTGATCCTTGGTGAACAGGACACCTTAAGGGGCTCCATCCTGAAAGAATTCTGCTCTGGCAGATCTTTAAAATAAATTTGTACTTCCATGCCTTTGATCAGGATGTGATGTGAGGAGTGGATTTGAAAATCTCTGAAATGCCTTTGCAGTTCTCCCATTGTCTTGCCTATTAACAACTGCCTCCAAGTTACTTGTACTGATCTCTGCAGCAAGTAGTTTTTCTATCACTCCCATACGAAATGAGATTATTATTGTTGTTGTTCTTTCAATGGTCAGGCTGTGAGTTTTTCAAATCTTTTTCCTTTTCTCCGACATTTTGCTCCTTATTCTTATTTATTTGAGAGGCAGAGTTACAGACAGAGAGAGAGAGAGCGACAGAGAGAAAGAGAGACAAAGAGAGAAAGGTCTTCCATATGCTGCTTTACTCCCCAAATGGCCACAATGGACGGAGCTGGCCCAATCTAAAGCCAGGAGCTTCTTCCGGGTGTCCCTCGCAGGTACAGGGGCCCAAGCACTTAGGCCATCTTCCATTGTTCCTTTTCTTACTGTTGAATCCCCAAAATTTCTTTATATATTCTTGACACAAATTCTTTGTCAGATATATTATTAGTAAATAGGTTCTTTCAGTCTATAGCTTATCTTTTCATTGTTTTAACACTGTTTTTTTCAGAGCAAAAGTTTGTTTTGATGAGGTTCACTTGATCAGATTTTTACTGCATAGACTGTGCTTTTAGTGTGACATTTAAGAAATCTTGTTTAGCCGGCGCCGCGGCTCAATAGGCTAATCCTCCCCCTGTGGTGCTGGCACACTGGGTTCTAGTCCCGGACGGGGCACCGAATTCTGTCTCAGTTGCTCCTCTTCCAGGCCAGCGGCTTCTGGCCGCAGCGGTCATTGGAGGGTGAACCAAAGGTGAAGGAAGACCTTTCTCCCTGTCTCTCTCTCTCTCACTGTCCACTCTGTCAAAATAAAAAATTTAAATTAAAAAAAAAAGAAATCTTGTTTAAACCAGTGTCATGAAGATTGTCTCATGTTTTTTTTTTTAAAGCTTTTAAAATCCATGCAGTTTTTTAAAAAGATTTATTTATTTATTTTAAAGTAAGATCTACACATAGAGAGGAAAGGCAGAGAGAGAGAATTGTTGATTACTTGACTTTCCCATATACACTTTAGTATTCATTTTCTGCTGGTATATCCTTTGCAGTTCAGTTAACTTGAAATGAATTTGAAGAAAATTTACATCTTAACATCTAGGCAGCAAACATGGAATAGTTTTTTATTTAATTTTTATTTAATTTGTATTTTTCAGTTAGCATTTTTTACTTTTTAGCACTCCAATCCCAGACATTTACAGTCAGTATCAAACATTTCCAATATTTTCTGCTATCATAAATGGTATTAGTTTAAGTTTTCAAATATTCATTACTAGTACATAGAAATAAGATAACTTTTTGTGTGTTGATCTGGTACTGTGCAAGTTTGCTGAATGTGCTTTTTAAATTTTGAGCTTTTTTTTGAATAGATTCCTTGGCATTTTCCACATACACGGTAATGTCACATGTAAATATCAAATTTGATTTCTTATTTTCCAGTGTGCATGCCTTTTGTATCTTCTTTTTGAAATGTTGAACTGGATAAGATTTGCCTTAAGATGTTGCACAGGAGAGTTTAAAGCACATATTTGTGCTGAGTACTAGATCTTAGAGGAGGAACATTCAGAATTTCATTTTTAAGTGTGATGTTAGTTATGGAAATTTTTTGTGTATGTTGATGTTGTTCATTAGTTTATGGACCTTTCCTTCTATTAATAGATGGCTGAGGATTATTATAAAGTAATGAATTGATATTGGATTTTGTCAAGTACTTTTTAAAGTTTATTTGAAAAGCAGAGTTAGAGAGAAGGAGATTGAGAAAGAGGTCTTCCATCCACTGGTTCATTCCCTAAATGCCTGCAACAGCCAGGGCTAGCTGGGCCAGGCCAAAACCAGGTGCCAGGTCTTAAGTGTGGATGGCAGGGACTCAACTACTTATGCCATCATCTGCTGCTTACCAAGTGCTTTAGCAGGGAGATAAATCTATAGCCGAATAGCTGGGACTCAAACCAACACTTCTAATGATATGTCAGTTTCCCAATTGACAACTTAACCCTCTTCTCCACAAGGCCAGCCCCTAAATATTTTTCTATATTAAGATGATTGCAGCTTTTTCTTATTCAGTCTGTTAATGTGGGTCAATGCATTGAATTATTTTAATTGTGTTTTATTTATTCGATAGCTGAAAATTCGCAATATCCTGTGATCATCACCATTGTTTTATCCTAGGCCACTTCCATCCCTCCAATAGAAACCTAATATCCCTTAAAACTAACCCCTTCCCCCATTCCCCCTCTGTTCCACCCTGCCCACATCCCTGTCAACCACTCCTTCTTTGTCTCTATGGATACCCCTGTCCTGAATAATTCATAAGTAGAAATGTACAATATATGGCTTTTATCCCTGGCTTATTTCACTTAGGATAATGTTTTATAGGTTAATCCATGTAACTTGTACAATTATTACATGTTCATGGATTAAAAATCTTCTGTTGTTTGAACATACCACATTTTGTATGTTGACTCATCCATTTATTGATTGATTCTACTTTTTGGCTATCATGAATAATATTGCTGTAAACATTTGTATATAAGTTTTGGGTGGACCTATGTTTACATTTTGGGCAAGTATATCTCTAGAGTGGACTGTGGACCATATAATTCTGCTTAACTTGTTAAGGGAATACCCAGCTCTATACTGATGGTCATTGTATATTCCTGTAGTAATGTATGAAGATTAAGATTTCTATATATCATGATAATACTTGTTATTTTCTGTTATTTCTACCATGTGTGAAGTGGGATCCCATTGTGGTTTTCATGCGCATTTCCCTAACAACTAATGACATTGAGCCTCTTTTTATATTCTCAATGGCCATTAGTATGTCCTTAGAGAAATGTCTATTCAAATCCTTTACCCAGCTTCTAATTGAGTTCTTTGTCTTGTTATTCAGTTGTAAGTTATTTATATATTCTAAATAACAGATCCTTATCATATACCTCATTTTGTAGTATTTTCTTCTATACTGTGGATTGTCTTTCACTTTGAGTTCATATGTAAAAATTCAGTTTTATGAAATTCAATTTATTTTTCCTTAGTTTCTTGTTTTTTTGTGTCATTTATAAAAATCATTGTTTAATTTCGAATATGATGTCTTAGGTGTCCAACTTCATTCTTTTGCAATTGCCTATACAAATGTTGCAAATCCATGTTAAAAAATTATTCTTTGCTCATTGCATGGTCTTGTAACTCTTGTTGAAATTCAGTTGCACATATATATGTGAGTTTATTTCTGGACTTTATACTTTATAGTTATTGAAATTGTGTGATTTGGGGCCGGTGCTATAGCTCACTTGGTTAATCCTCCGCCTGCGGCACCAGAATCCCATGTGGGTGCCAGGTTCTAGTCCCGGTTGCTCCTCTTCCAGTCCAGCTCTCTGCTGTGGCCCAGGATAGCAGTGGAGGATGGCCCAAGTGCTTGGGCCCTGCACCCGCATG